CCCCCCCCCCCAGCCCCGGGACAGAAGTACGAACAGTTGCCAGATAGATGTTGAATAAAAAATCATGTGCCAAAGTTAATGCTGTGCTTCCATATACAATCTCTTTGAAGAAATTAAGGGATTAATGCTTTGTCTTGCTGCAAATAAAATATGATATCCCGGTATACACTGCACTTTATCTATGTATCTATAGTAGCCCTGATAAGTCCTTGATATCTTCAAGGTTTCTAAGAGCTAAAAGCACTGGTCAGGTAAGAGTTGTTGGGGATGACATGGAGTAATTGAAGGAAACCTATTTTAGACTTTTCATACTCCCAAAAGAAACATCCCTTGCCAGAATGGGTTGACAGAAGTACACGATACTAATCGCAAATGATGTTAGTTATTTGTTTCATGATTTATTAACCCAAACAAGATATCTCATCCTCTCTTTACATGTCTTCCAAGAAGTAACTTCAATTTCTTTTTCCATCTTATACATCCAACCTAAGTTCACTAAAATAGACATCATGGCTAACCAATTATGTTCTAAAACCGCAAAGCAAATACGGCAGCCAAAGATGGAAGATAAAAAACCTAATGCAAGCATTAGTGACTGCTTCCACGGCGGTAACCCATGACCTATACGTCACACAGAGACAACTTTACCAATTGAATCCAAGGCTCCTCTTCAGCCGAAGATGGAAGATATTCAAAAGAAAATAGAATGATGGTCAAAAACTTGCTTTACATGTAAGCTAAGCAAGAAGAAAGCAATAACATTTAAAATCCATGCATCTTAAATAAAATGTTCAATAAAAGGTTAACCCAACATTCAAAAGCCGAATCATGGATAACCCCAAAAGATTGACATTCTTAAATTAGCCCCAACATTTAGACATGACTATATCTAATCTCAATTGCAGTTTATGATCTACTATCTTAAGGTATATTTCTTTTTCTTAGTTTTTCTTTCTTCTCTTTCTTTCTTTAAATGCAATTGAGAGGAATTGGCAGTTATTATATGTAAAAGAGTAGGATCGAAGGATAGAATTGACCAACTTGGTAACAATAGTAGATGAAACAACTTTAACTGCCCGCCTTTCAATAGAACGCATAATCCAATATGAAGGTGAATGCAATAAAATTCATTGTTCTAGCCAAGCTCAAATCAAATGACCTGGAAAGAGTTTTCACAAGTACCTGCCAGGTTCCCATGTTTAGTTTTCCATCCGTGATTGGAATCCTGAAAATCCAAGACATGGTAAATATCAGTGTAAAATGGAGGTGTGAAAAAATATATGGATTAAAACAAGGAGATATTCAGACGTGAGCGTGCAGCCAAACATCGATGACTTAATGTGAGCAGGCATGTCATCTGGTCCTGTCCAAATTGCAACATAGTAATGTCAAAATAACAACCAATAAAATTGAGAAAGACTGAGGAAAAAAAACAAGAACTTAATCCCTGAAAAGTCTGTCAGAAAGATTGAAGGCGATACAATAGAATACAACATATAAATAAGTGGCAGTATTCTTTTTCTTATAGGTGGTAGTATTATAGGTAGGTATGACACAACGAATGAACGTCAGAATCACCAAGAAGGAACAAACTGATAATTTTGCTAAACATTTAAACCAACTCCAAAGGTTTCAAGAAACAACTCAAATGCAGTAAAAGAGCAAAATTCTTTTATCATGTATTGATTATGAAAAGTTAATGTACAAGGAGGATTGCGGATCTAGCTATGCATTTGCTAATCAAATGGGGAAGCGGAGCTGGATACTGAAGTAAGCGATGATAGAGTTAGAATTTAAGACTGAAGTAGTTGAAGCCTGAATTTAATTAGTTAGTTTCATAGCAAATTGTTTTTTTCTTTTCTTTTTTTTTAGTTTCCCACCCGGTATCAAGTACTCGCATTGGGTCCCGACTAAGTCTGAATTCGCGCTGAGAAGTCCACATTAGGGGTAAAGAGCTCCCTAACAAAGATGGCTTCATACTCGGGGCTCCAACCAGAAACCTCGGGTTAAGGATAAAGGAGTACTTACCACTCCACCACAACCCTTGTTGGTGCATAGCAAATTGTTAGATTAGTTAGTTGGAGCCAAAATTCCATTTGAATTTCATTCAAAAGTCTCAATGTATAAAATACCATTGATGTACATTGATTGGGTACTAAGAATACAGCTACATTTTAGCTTTTCATTGCAATTCATTTTAACTGCCTCTCGGATCAATTATATTCCTAGCCAGTTCTCTCACCTTCTTGAATCTTGCTTCCTTTGCCGCTCCACTTTCTCCAACACTTCTACTCTCTTTCTCTCTCCTCTCTCCTCACTCTTATCTCCTATTTTTCTTCTCTTTGCTAATCTCTCTTCTCATGTTTTGGCACAGATATCCTCCTCTCCTAATTTCTCGACTCTCATCTTATTTCATCTTAGGCGATTGTTCTATTGAGAACAAGTTCGGAGACATACATCACACTACGAGATGCTACTTGCTTGAAAAGGGGGATGATGGCGATGCCAATCCAAATACTACACATTTATTTTTAATTCAATACCTTCTTTTTGTAGATGTAAATTATTTTTTCCATCTTGAAGATACATCTGATGAAATTTTTTGAGCTTTTCACTGTTTTAAAAGAGGGATGTTAAGGTTTTGACTACCAAGGTTTGTTATTTCAAAGATCAGTTGATTTTCCAGTAATTTGATGAGTCTCATGCTACCTGATTTAATTAAAAAATTGGGATTTCTTAAGTTGGAACATTGACTCTGGACGATACTGCCATGTGGACTTATTCAACCATATCAGGCCCATGCACAAGCTCTTAAATCATACTAATACAGTGTCAAGCTCAGCCATAAGATTTTGAGCTTCCCCAAGCTCAGGTCAAACTGCTAGGTATTCGGATCGGCTAGTTTTCACCCCCAAACCCAAACCACCTCACCGAATTGCCACCCCTAGAAGAAGCACAGTGCATTATCTGGAAAAAAACAAAAATTAGAAGAGAATAAACAGCAGTCCAGACTCCGGACACCAGAGGACAGGGATTAAGCTACACGCTTACCCTCAAGAGTATGTTTCCACGGTGCAGACATCCCCTGAAATTGTCATTTTAAAACAAAATGAGACTCTCCACAACAATTAATGACAAGTACTCTACCTGGCAGAAAATAATTTACCTCTGGGACAACCCTGTTAAGAAATGTCTCTGTATCATCTCGAACATCTGAGTCGTAGTTTTCATTTATGGTCAAAGAAGCACTTGTATGCTGCACTGGTTAAACATACAGCTAACCATATTCAGTCATGAAAGAATTCTGGGGCAATTACCAGGCGAATTAAAAGATGTCAAACAGAATTTCAAGTGAAATTTCAGAGTAGGATTACTTACGAAAAAAATGAGCAAGGCCACATTTGAAGCCTGCCATATCTTGACCAATTTCCTTCAAAATCTGATGAAGACATTAAGATGTTATTAATATCAAGCAGAATGCATCCTTTTTGTCGGGTTGGGAAAGAGATGGAACACACAGAATTGGACAAGAGAAAGAGAAACAAACTCTTCTATGAGCACTTTGTTTGATATTTGAAACATGTTGCTCCATGACCGAGGTACAGTATGCTTATGTTTAGATGGGGTTATATAATTGTCCAGATTAATATACTAATAGTTCGTTTTCCTTGGCGATGGACGCATTGACGCGACACATTTAGGGGAGGTGCTGTGGTGTATGTTATTTGCGGATGATATAGTTCTGATTGACGAGATTCGAGGGGGTGCTAACGACAGACGGGAGGTTTGGAGGCAGACTCTTGAGTCTAAAAATTTCAAGCTGAGCAAGACCAAGACGGAGTACTTCAGTGTTTTTGAGAGCGAGAAGCGCAAAAAAGCGACAGGGGCTCGCCTCGCTTCAAAAACGAAGCACACGCTTCATTGAAGTGAAGCGCAATTCTTAAAAAAACATAAAGTAAACCTTGTAAAGAGACATTATAAATAATCAAAAAGTTTTTTTGATAAGGTAAATTGCATTAATCAAAAGGGAGAGAACTCCCGTATACAAGAAGTATACCAAAATTAACATCAGAACATGATTCTCTACACAAGACGCCCAATCTTCTATACAAATAGGGGCTATATGAGTGCACCAAAAAGCGATCAAAGATAAAAGACTATTCTTAAGATGTGAAAATGGAGACTCAATCCCCTCAAAAGCTCTCCTATTTCTCTCCCCCCAAACTATCCACATGAGAGCTAACGGGGCGAACTTCCACGCCTTTTGCTTTCTTCTTCTACGAAAACCGACCCAGCTATATAGCATTTCCTTTACGGTGCTTGGCATCACCCATTGAACACCAAAAAGGTTCAAGATCGCCCTCCACAAAGCCGAGGACACAGGGCAATGCAACAAAAGATGATCAACTTCTTCCCCTGAGCTTTTACACATATAGCACCAACTAACAAGTGTAATTCCCCTCTTTCACAGATTCTCAGCAGTCAAAATCACTCCCCTCGCCGCTAGCCATGCAAAAAAGCACACCTTCGTGGGCGCCTTAGGAATCCAGATCGAGGAGTATGGAAAAGAGGCCTCCTCTTTCACCAACATACTCTGGTAAAAGGACTTTACGGTGAACAGACCATCGCCACGTAAACCCCATCTCCAAGAATCACAAGATGGCTGAGGCATGTCTTGCCCATATAGCAGTGTCAATAAATCTTAAAGCTCTGCAATCTNATATAGATCTAATGCTTCATTCAAAACAGTAATCGGAGCTCATTTGTTCAATATGATATCATTTATGCTTGAAGAAACGACATCGAAGCATAAGAAAAACAAGCACAACGCAGCCCAAACCTATCCGAAACTCACCCGAGCTCCTCGGGACCGCATACGAACATACTAACACGTCACATATGATCATTCAGACTTAGTTGCACTCTCAAAACACCAAAACTAACATCAAAACACCAAATTTACATCAGATTCAAGCCTAAGTTCTTCTAAAACTTCCGAAACACGCATTTGATCAAAAACCCAACCAAATCACCTCCGAATAACCTGAAATTTTGCACACACATCCCAAATCACCTAATGAAGCTACATCAACTCTCGGAATTCCATTCCGACCCTCGGATCAAAATCTCACCTATCAACCGGAATTTGCCAAAATACTAACTTCGCCAATTCAAGCCAAATTCTACACCGGACCTCCAAAATCACTTCCGATCACACTCCTAAGTCACAAATCATCTCCCGAAGCTAACCGAATCGTCGGAGTCCACATCCGAGCCTCTAACTCATAGGTCAATATCCGGTTGACTTTTCCAAAACAAGCCTTCCTTAAAGAGACTAAGTGTCTCATTTCCTTCCAAAAATCAACCCAATTCAACTCGTTCACACAAGACACTGATAATGAAGCATAACGAAGCAGGAAATGGGGGAAACGGAGCGGTTCTCACGGGACGACGGGTCGGGTTGTCACATGTGTATGAACTTCCAGCATATTATACTGGACCGATATACTTTGCTGGAACTCCAGTATATTATGCTGGAGTTCTAGTATACTTATGCTGGAACTCCATCATATTATGTTGGAGTTCCAGCATACTTATCCTGGAACTCCAGTTAAATATGCTGGAGTTCAAGTATACTTATGCTGGAACTCCAGCATAATATACTGACGTATTTTCCGGGTTTTGAACAGTGTTTTCGCTCTGATTTCTCTTTACATGAAAAGTGGCTAAATTTCGATTACTTTTGAAACTGGACTATTTTTGAACGACCACTTGTAAATCTGGCTATTTTTGAATTTCTCTCCACGAAATACTAAAATAACATTGTTAAAAGTGCTAATTGGTCTTATAACTATTTCATCAAAGATTTTCTCTATTGATAATACTTTGAATGTCTTTAAGATTATAATTCTAAACAAAATATGCCATCAATTGATTATAGATAAAGCACTCAAAAGAGAAAAATTTCATAATATAAAAAGATTACATAGAGGAGAAATTGATAATTAAGAAAAGGAAAAAATAAGCATTGCCTCATTTATTGGAGAAATAGTATTAATTTAAACATACACATTGAAAAATGTTTCTTTTTGCTTAAATTTTTGAAATATTTTATTTTATTTTATTTTATATTTTATCACATTATTTACTACCTTATCCATGAAATTTTCTTTCCGTCTTGCAACTAATGTTGTTAATTACACTAAAAAGACATGGAAGGAGATCTTAGCGTATGATTCTTGGAGAGAAAGAACCTTATTGAGTTCATTACTCAAATGATCACCCAACTATCCCAAATTATCTTCTAAAGTCACTTTTCTTTCATTTGCAACAAGAAAATCATTGAACTATGCATATTGCACTCAGAAGGTCACTCAACTAGATTTTTCAAATTTTGGAGTGTCAAATACCTATTTTGCCCCTCTAAATTATAAACATTTATCTTCTTTTTATTTTTTTTAAAACTTTTTAATATAGTGATTTTCCCCCTTTTAATTTACATTATGGACTTACCTATAGACTAAATAAATATTATTTATAAATTAAAAAATACAAAATATTTAAGCATATATAATGCCGAAATAACAAAATAATGAGCATAGTAAAAAAAATTAATTAGAATAATTTATGAGTAATAATAATTTTAGTATTAACAACAAAAATTCAAAAATTTATTTACACAATTCAGAATGAAAGAAAATAAAAGGAGAGGAGAATTTTCGGTTAACCAAAAGAAAATATAACATGGCGGTAATAATGAAATATGCACATTTTTAGTAATAAAGTTTCGTATATGGTATAGATAGGAAAAAATCCCTTATCAATAAATCAGAGAAGTGGCCAAGGATAATTTTGGACTTAAAGAAAAGTGAGTATGGTGCTAACCTATAAGGTTAGCAAAATCCATAATATATATGGTAAAGATGGCAACACTAGCAAGGAGAACTTCCCATGTTTGCCAGTTACAAAATTTCTTTAAAGCTGTGGTCCATACTGAAATTTGGAACGACAACCACATAGCAGTTTTTACCAGAAAATGCCAAGAGATTTTCATCTCCTAGATGCATCATAGACTGAAATGGGCTAGAAAATACATCACAAACGAGAGAAAATGTATTACACATGACCTCATTTCAAGTACGATAAAGCAACATTGATAGGACTTCTCTAACATTTGACTTAGCGGCTGCATGCCATTAAGGGTGATCAGCAATTCTGCTACGGGGTAGCCGCATCAACGGTGCTCACACAACATATGCCGCTGAGATTCGAGAACTTAGTTACTCATCATAACCTTCCAATCAACTGCAGATGAGAACCAGGCTATCAAACAAAAAACAACTGATTATTGAGTCACCTCGTTAGTGGTGCTAACTGCTACCATTCGAAATGCTATTCACCTTGATAAATAACACATTAAACAAACTCTCAACAATGGGAAAGCAGCAACACTCAAGGCAGTGCTATTGCCGCTTGCAAAAGTTTGGAATTAAATACTCATCATTTGGAGGTGGTTTGAGCCGAAGTCATTGAAAAGGCTTTGATGCAACCTCCTCTTCAAACACTTCCCCTCACCCCAAGAAATAAAAGGGATAAAAGTATGGGCGATATATCATACGTTTTAGCCTCCCTAAAGAATATCTAGCACTTTCTCAAGTGTCTTTGCTATGGTTGTTCATCTTCAAGTCTACACTTAACAGTTGCCAGATAGATACAAACAACAAACAACAACACTAGCCCACGTTATAGTCCCACAAGGTGGGGTCTGGGGAGGGTAAACGTAACAATTGCCTTAACCCTAACCCGAAAGGGCAGAGAGGCTGTTTTCCAATCGACCCCGGCTCAGGAAAAGGGAAAAAGAAAAACAAAAACAAAAAAACAAAAAAAAAAAACAATAAAAACAAAAGAGTATTAGTAACTCCAGCAAAAATCACATAAATAAATTATCTAAACATAAACCATAAATAAAATGGCATGCAAATATATCGACGCAGTAACTACCATAAGGGGCACAATACAATATACAGATCATCTATGAGAGCCCTACCAAACCCCCCCCCCCAGCCCCGGGGTCCAGAAGTAAACGAACAGTTCCAGATAGAATGTGTGATAAAAAAATCATGTGCCAAAAGTTAATGCTGGTGCTTGCCATATACAATCTCTTTGAAGAAATGTAAGGGATTAATGCTTTGTTTGCTGTAAAAATAAATATGAATATCCGGTATAAACGTACATGCATTTATCTATGTATCTATAGTAGCCCTGAATAAGTCCTTGATATCTTCGAAGGTTTCTAAAGCTAAGCACTGGTCAGGTAAGAGTTGTTGGGGATGACATGGAAGTAATTGAAGAGAAACCTTTTTAGACTTTTCATACTACCAAAAGAAACACTCCCTTGCAGATGGGTTTGACAGAAATACACGATACAACGCACAAATG